AAGCAAATATCCTCGTAAAGATACGGCTATTTGCTCAGTCTGGCTGTTGGTTTAAACGGATGCCAACAGTGCCCCAACTCGAAATTTCATTTGTTCATACGTGACCTAGATGTGTTTCAAAGTTGAATTTCTTTTTTAGGTCCCACATTTCTTTAGACAAAGAACAAACTCGTAAGAATTCGGTTTCCAAGCTTGACAGGCCCGAAAACTGCTAGCCATTAAAAAAATGTCTTTGGAAAAAAAATGTCTGTACGTACAACGTATATGTATTATTAGTTAAATCTGAAATTTTTAGGCAGCACGACGGCAAAGAACACCATCGTAAAAATTCAGCTTCCTGTCTTGTCTGGTTCCGTCAAGAGCTTTTCGTTCAAAACCTTTTTAGCAGTTTTAGGCATCCGTATGTGAAATATAAGTTGTTTTCAGGTCCACAGGGTCGCGTTTGGGTTATAAAAATCATTGTAAATTTTCCGCTTCTCAGCTTCTCTGGTTGCAAGTTGAAAGTGGGGGACAAGATCCAAAAACACATGCGTGCCGACAATCTCTCGACAACAAGCGTTTTTGCATTTTATCAGTGATATAAAAACAGAAGTGATATAAAAACGTATAAAAATGAAATTTTTTTACGCAGAAGAGTCCAACGAATGCAAGTATCTCGCAAGAATCCACAGGCGCAACATGAATTGTGGTTCACGAGTACCTTGATGTGTAATCAACATCCAGAAGCGGTGATCCTGATTATAAATTGAAATAACATATTTCTGGATAAAATAATCATTAAATGTGGCAAATTTGTCGTCTGGAAATCTGGACGACGGCTTCAGATCAAGTATCTGGAAGATAAACAGATCAAAATTGCAAAACAGCCTCGACTCTCACGATAGGTGATATTTTAGCAGTGTTTCCTCGCAAATTTTCCTCCCGTGAGTGATCTGAAATTTATGGTTGTCTAGCCCTCGTGGAATGTGGCATTTAGAAATAGCCTCTGCGAGTACCAACTCACAAATGGGCTAAAATTCAGTACGAGATAACCCGCTTCACTATTTTTTAAGCAATCCTAACTTATTGTCATGGCTTTCATGCATTTTGTCGTGAACGCAAATGCGAAAACTCATATTGTAACGACCCATGTTATGCGTGTGTGTGTGTGTCTGTCCGGCTTTTTAACTCGGCAATCAAGCACGCTTTGAGCTGAAGCTTTGCCAGTGCATTCCCCGGCCAAGTGCTATTTCAAACACAGCCCCCCAGACATGCGTAGTTCTTACGCACAGACAAGTGAAAGTTTTGGCGGGAAAATCGCTCATTGAACAGCCAGGTCAATTTCAAAGAAAAGAGTCCGATAAAAACTGTCTACTTTCCTTTACACAAAATTTAAGTTGTTTACGCCGAGTGCATAAACTAAAAACATTCATATAGCTGATGATCTAACTGCTTCAAATTTAATGAAAAAACGCATGATTGCACCGACACGCCTGGTGCGTTCCAGCCTAGAGTTGAACTATCATCCTTGGTGCCGCCTACCTCAGCAACATAATAAAATGATGGATGATCTCGATCTCGGTACCATGGCATAACGACCGCATCCTGAAACTTTGCTGCATCGAATTGAAATGCTTGCCGTTCCTCGTCCGATGGAATTCGCGGCATGTCAGCAATCGAGGAAACCACATTTCGAACATACGTATAGTCCAGCTTGAAGTCCACTTCACCGCTAACCAAATCACGCTCTGAATTTGCTCATGTCAAGAATCTATTCCAAGCAACCAAAAAAAAAAATAATTGGCCAATGCACGGGCTGCCCGTGCGAAGATGCGCTTTTTGTAGTGTTCCCCGCAGCTTTTGTCGCTACCAGCATCGGTTTTATCGGCAGATGCTTCTAGC